TTCAAAACATCATAATTTCATTAGTTCATTTTTTTAAATTCAAGTTCTAAATATAGTCATCACACACAATAAAATAGTACAAAATATATATTCAAATAAATTTTGAACAAAGTCTAATTGCAACATAAACTGAATAACAAAATAACTTGTCTGATAAATTTAATTCTAAGGAGAGAAAGTTGTTTCAAATAAGTTTTGAACAAACCTTAATTATATTTTAATTTTATATTTTAAAAAAAATTATCAAAATGTCATCGTTTTGTTTGAGAAAAAACAAGCATTTAACTTGCCGGTTCTCCAAAACAGACGATTCTTCAATTTTTGTTAGAAGATGCAATTCAGTGTTTTAGTGGGAAAGTTGTATCCGACATAGTGGTGTTAGACAACATAGTCTAACTAAGCTAAGTAGAGGTAAATTGGGTTCGATGGAGTCGAATACAACATGTATTCGACAAAGTTTAATACCATAACTAATGAATTGTGCTTAGGTTGCATATATATATATATATATATATATATATATATATATATATATATATATATATATATATATATATATATATATATATATATATATATATATATATATATATATATATATATATATATATATATATATATATATATATATATATATATATATATATATATATATATATATATATATATATATATATATATATATATATAGGTGACGATGTAAATCAAAAGAATAATTTTTACTTTAATAAAGTTCCCTTTTCTCATTATAGTTTCTCTCTCTTCACTCTCTCTCTATCTATCTATCTATCTATCTATCTATCTATCTATCTGTCTGTCTATTCGTCTGTCTGTCTGTCCGTCTGAGATGAAGTTACAGACGCTGAGAAAGCAGTTTGAGATGACACACATGAAAGAAGATGAATCAGTTGATGATTTCTTCTCAAGATTAGTGTTACTCACAAACCAGATGAAGGCATGTGGAGAATCAATCAATGATTTGCATAAGTATGAGAAAGTACTGAGATATCTGATTGTAAATTTTGATAACATTGTAGTGTCTATTTAAGAGTTCAAGAATCTAGCTGAGACAAAGGTGGAAGAAATCTAGGCTTCATTGGAGTCTCATGAGATTATACTAAAGCAAAGGAACTCAAAAAGTGAAAAGGTGGTAGAACAGGCACTGCAAGCAAGATACATCAAGAAGTTTGAAAAAAAGGAGAAACAACAAAATGATCTTGCAAATGATGAGAATGCATGCAAGAATTAAAAGAACCACTTTGATTAAACCAAGAAAGGCATGTACAACAAGTGTTCAGGGAAGAAAATAGATATGAAGGAGGTGCAGTGTTACAACTATCAAGGATTTAGTCTTTATGCCTAGGTTTGTCGGAGAAAGAAAGAATCAAGAGAAAAAGATAATGAAGATGTGCAATATGCACATGCTGGAGAAAGTGACTCTGATGATATTCTACTCATGGAAATTACTCATTTGAATAATGAAAAAACTAATATATGGTATCTGGATTCAGGATGCAGGAACCACATGACTGAGAATACAATTTTTTTCACCAAGTTAGATGAATCAATAAAGAAAGTGATCAGGTTTGCAGATGGTAGACAAGTCACATCAACTAGAAGAGGAAACATATCTTTGATTTGAAGAGATGGTCAGAAGGAGAACATTAGTGATGTATCGTATGTACCTTTGATGACAAGTAATTTGATTATCATATGTCAATTACTTGTAAAAGGGTACAACATGAAGGTGGAAGAGAATCGAATGAAGGTGTATAATGGTGAAGGAATGATGATCCTGAAAGCATCATTGGCAAACAACAAAACCTTCAAAGTAGAGATCAAAATAGTTGATCATCAATGCCTTGCTTCGACTTCAGTTGAAGACAAGAACTGACTATGAAATCACAAGTATGGACACCTAAACTTCAGAGGTTTAGGCATGCTCAACCAGAAGAAGATGTGGATTTACCTTATTGATAGAAAGAGTGAGGTATTCACACAATTCAAGAAGTTTAAGTTTCATGTCGAGAAACAAAGTGGATGAAAATTAAAGAAAGTGACAATTGATGGTAGAGGTGAATACACCTCTAGAGAATTTGTAATATTTTGTAATGAGGAAGGCATAGAGCATGAGGTTGTTGCACCCTATACACCTCAGCACAATGATATAACTGAGAGGAGAAATAGAAGTATACTGAACATGATCAGGAGTATGTTGAAATCAAAAGAAATGTCAAAGAGATTTTAGGGTGAAGCAGCTTCGGCAATAGTATACATTCTAAACAGATGTTCAACCAAGAAGATAGTTGATAAGACACCTTATGAGGCTTGGACAAGACTGAAGCCATATGTTATTAATATTAGGGGTTTTGGATTAATGTGTTTCAAACATGTACTTGAACAATTATTTAATAAACTAGATGATCGAGATCAGACCATGGTGCTCATAGGTTATCATTCGAGTGGTGCATATAAATTGTATTTTGCCAAATGATGGTAAGCTAGTAATAAGTAGGGATGATCTAGTGGATGAAAAAAAAGTGTGGAATTGGACTAAAGGGTTAGTTCGACATGATCAAGATACAATCATAATTGTTCTTAAAGAAATCAACAAATTTAAGTCACACCACATCAAATTGAGGAACCACTTGGGTATAATGTTAGAAGATCGACTAGAACGATATCTGAGTCGACAAGGCTAGCTGGATAAGAGATATTTCCAGATCAAGCAATCATTGCATAAGGTGACTCCATAGGATAAGTAATGATGTTGTATGAATCATAATTAATTGATTTGGATCAAGCTATGAATGATTCAAATTGGTTGGGAGCCATGCAAGAAGAAATCAAGCCAATCGAGAAGAACAAGACCTGAGAGCTTGTAGAAAAATCAATCAAGAATCCAATTCATGTGAAGTGGGTCTACAAGTTGAAACCAAGGCCAAATGGTGAAACCTCCAAGTATAAGGCCAGACTGGTGGCAAATTTTTTTTTGCAATAACCTGATATCAACTTCGATGAAGTCTATGCACATATTGCAAGGTTGGAAACCATCAAAATTATTGTATCGACTGCATCATATAAAGGATGGAAGATACATCAATTAGATGTAAAGCCAACATTTTATAATGGATCATTGGAAGGGGAAGTCAATGTCAGTCGAACACTAGGATTCGAAATCAAAGGGCAGAAGCAGAAGGTGTGCATATTGAGGAAGGCTCTCTATGGTTTAAAGCAAGCCCTAAGAGTTTGGAATAAGAGAATAGATCGCTTCCTGATTGAGGCAGGCTTCACAAAATGTATCTCAGAGCATGAGGTGCATGTCAACAATGCAAGTAAACACAATTGAGTCATTATATGCTTGTATGTGGATGGATTGATAATTAAAGGTGTAGACGAAGCATAAATAAAAGGGATCAAGTCGAAACTGATGCATGGGTTTGAAATGTATGACTTGGGAAACTTGTCATATTTCTTAGGGATGGAGTTTAAAGACACAATTGAAGAAGTGTTGTTGAACCAGAAGATGTATGCCTAAGACATCTTGAAAAGCTTCAAGATTAACAACTATAATGTAGTTGTCACACCATTGGAGACTAGAAAAAATGTGAGAAAGAATACAAATGAAGAGTTTGTAAGTGCAACATTATACAAGAAAATCATTGAATCCTTAAGGTATCTATGCAACACCAGTCTAGATATTTGTCAAAGTGTCGGGTTGTTGAGCAGATTCACATGGAAGACACAAGAAGGTCATTTCACTACAATCAAGAGAACATTGAAATACATAAAAGGTACAATCGATCATGGTGCATTGACGTCAAGGCAGAAGAATACCAACATAGATGCAGAGGTACATGGCTACACAGACTCAAATTTCAGTGGAAATCAAGATGAGAAGAAGAGTAATGTAGGCTATATATTCATGATTGGAGATGCTCAAACCACTTGAAGCTCAAGAAAGCAAAGTAATGTGGCTTTGTCATCTTGTAAAGTTGAATACGTGGTTGCATCGTATGTAACATGTCAAGCAACATAGATAAAGATGTTGCTCGAAGAACTCAAGATCATGGAACCTAAGAAAATGAAGTTGTTTGCCGTTAACAAGTCAACTATCAACCTGACAAATCATCCTGTGTGTCATGGTTTAAGTAAACACATAGAGAGGAAATGTCATTTTTTTAGGGATCAAGTAAATAAAAGAAAACTTGAACTTGAGCATTGCAAGTCAGAATTGCAACTAACTAATATACTTACCAAACCCCTGAAGAAAGTTGGATTTGATGAGTTTAAGAGAAGCATTGGGATAAGAAGCCTAAAAAACATGAATTAAGAGGTGTGTTAGAAGATGTAATTTAGTGTTTTAGTAGGAAAATTGTATTCATCATAGTGGTGTTAGACAACATAGTCGAAGTAAGCTAAGTAGCGATAAATTGTGTTCGAGGAAGTCAAATACAACATATGTGTCGAAGTGTGTAAGCATGTATTCGACATAGTTAAATACTGCAACTAATGAATTGTGTTTAGGTTGCCTATATATACAAGCGACAATGTAAATAAAAAAAAAACAATTTTTACTTTAATAAAATTCTCTCTCTCTCTCTCTCTCATCATAATTGTTCCAACAATTTTACCGATTTTAGTCAGTTTATATCGGTTCAATAACTTCTCCGATCTAATAATCAGACTAGACTTGGAATTCCGATCCAACTAGTTCTGATCGATTTTTAGTACAATGATTCTCAACCCAACTCACAACTGATCAAATTTGTAAATACAGTACTCTTTAAAATCAAATTAAAATTGTATCAAGGTCTACTGAAAATGCGTGTCCATCACTTGAATAAGACAAATGGTTCAATCCATTGCCACATAACTGTATAGCGTAAAATGGACAAGTCAAACTCTAGCTAACTTTTCTTTATGACAACCTCTACTACTTGATGATTCTACAACTTATTTTATGCTCAAGAAATTAAACTTACTTATATAATACTAAAATGAACTCCAGAAAAGTGCTACTTTGGACCAATTTAAAATACCATTTTCCTTATATATTGATATTACAACAAATTGACTACAAAAAACAGCTTCTTCAATTAATCTCTTCTCTTTGTATACCTCTCTTCAAGTCTAGCTATAAGCCTCTAAGGAATAAACAGACTCATCAACAGAATCATAAGGTGACTAGAAAAGTTTTGCTCTATTTTCTTTTTTTAAAGTGTTTCACACATCAGAAAGATTCATACTAGTTGTTAGGATTTGAGACTTATGTTTTTAAGATTATGAAAGATTCAGAAAATCTTTTGATTATGCAAATCTTAGATATGTGATGATTTTTAGATTCATATTAACTAAATAAATATGCTATTTAGTGTTGTATTTTTGTGTTCAACTTAATTTATAAAAAATAGATTCTGAAAATGACTTATTCATGTAGAATACTAAGTTAACATGGCCCTACTAGATCTTCATATAAGGTCAACTAAGCATGTTCACCAGTTACAATTTGTTTGTTTCATTTTTATAATAATAAGTTCACATTTGAATTGAAAAAGTGATTACCATGTTGTCTATCTAACTATAAATATATTTATTTCTCATCATGGTAGAGGTGTGATTATCTTTTTTTCTCTATTTTATTTCAAACAGAAAATGAGAGAAACCATATCAGAAACATGTTTGGTTATGATCATTGTGATGTTGGTGACTGCATTATTTGCAAGACTAATTCAAATCAAGAAAAGCATATGGAGATTACCGCCCGGAAGGAGAGGTTGGCCTTTGATTGGTGACAGTATCAATTGGTACAATGCTGTTGCAAGTTCTCATCCTCCTCGGTTCGTCGAAGAAATGGCGCAAAGGTATAGTATGTCACAACTTTGTTCTCTGATGATACGTTATTTAGTATAAAATATTGTCAAATAGTGGTTATAGTCGCGCTATAGCATTTATGTGTTATGTATAGAGGAATTTAAACACGGATTAACTGATGAAACCTTTTGTTTGGTGTAGGTATGGTAAGATATTTTCTTGCAGCCTATTTGGAAAATGGGCAGTGGTGTCGTTGGATCCAAGTTTCAACCGTTTTGTAATGCAAAACGAAGGGAAATTATTCGTGTCAAGTTATCCGAAATCTTTTAGAGATTTGGTTGGTAAAAATGGTGTGATTACGGTTCAAGGAGATCAACAAAGGAAACTACATGGGATCGCGTCAAATATGATGCGGCTAGATAAGCTTAAGTTCCATTTCATGAATGATATACAAAATGTCATGATCCAAACTTTGAGCCATTTTAGCAACAATCAAGTCATTCTTCTCCAAGATGTTTGCAGAAAGGTAACGGCCCGTAACGCGTTTTTTCATTTGTAGTCGTGACGAACTCATGAGGGCGCCTGATTAATCTTAAGATCAATGTTTTTGTGCAGGTAGCTATAAATTTAATGGTTAATCAACTATTAGGAGTTTCAAGTGAGTCTCAAGTCAATGAAATGGCTCAATTGTTTTCTGATTTTGTCGATGGTTGTTTATCCATTCCAATCAACATTCCTGGCTCTTCATACCACACTGCCATGAAGGTACCGTGAATAAACTTTTACAATCAATGGTATATATCTATGAAGCACGGACACACACACGAACAACAGACACAACATCGGCACACTGATATATATCTATGAAGCACGGACACTGACACGAGCAACAGACTGATACATAACTTTATAAGACTATTCTTGATGAATTGTTTTGTAAGGCAAGGGAGAAGATCATAAGCAAGATAAACAAGATCATAGAGACATACAGAAAAAACGGTGCTGCAAAAGAAGGTACTAACAATGGTGTACTTGGAAGATTACTAGAGGAAGATAGCTTGCCAGATGAGGCTGTTGCAGACTTCATCATCAATCTTCTCTTTGCCGGCAACGAAACAACCACAAAAACAATGCTTTTTGCAGTTTATTTCCTTACTCAATGTCCTAATGCCATGAAGGAACTTCTGGTATGCATAATAGAGATATTCTCGAAATCGTTTTTTCTTATTTAGGCCTGTATGAATAAACAACTTATTATTTTCTGCAACTTTTCTCTTGCACAGGATGAGCAAGATTCTCTAAGAACTGATTCTGGTGAAGAATTTCTCACATGGCAGGACTATAAAGCAATGCCATTTACTCAATGTGTAAGCGATTAACATTCAACTACTTTTCGTAACAAATTATGTTGATATGGTTCATCTCATAATTACTTTTTCTAACAGGTTATTGATGAAACGCTTCGACTTGGAGGCATTGCAATTTGGTTAATGAGAGAAGCAAAAGAAGACATTCAATACCAAGGTACACAAATTTTGAGAGTAAAAGCTTATTATAAAAAGCTTTATGTAATAAGCTACTGATACAAGCTTATCTGTTTTTGAGCAGATTTTGTTATTCCAAAAGGATGCTTTGTGGTTCCATTTCTTTCGGCGGTTCATTTAGACGAAAAGGTATATGAGGGAGCTACAAACTTCAATCCTTGGAGATGGACGGAACCTGAAAATGAAGAAAAGAGAAACTGGAGAACTAGTCCATTTTTTGCACCCTTTGGAGGAGGTGCTAGATTTTGTCCGGGAGCCGAGTTAGCTCGGCTTCAAATCGCTCTTTTTCTTCATTACTTTGTAACAAATTATAGGTAATTCCTCGCTCTCTCTGTGCATCATATACACATCTTTTGATGAATACGTAAAATTGACTTTTTTGATTTATTGAACCACTGATGTATCTGGTTTATATATAGACTAATGTAATTGAATGATATATAACAGATGGAAACAAATGAAGGAAGATCGAATGTCCTTCTTTCCGTCAGCTCGGTTAGTGAATGGCTTTGAAATTTGTTTAACTAGAAGACATGATGATAATCAAAGAAACTGATTTTCATCTCAAAATCCTCCTAAGTTGATCTCAACTATTTTTTCATTCACTGTTTTCTCTGGTTACATGTTTTTGCTGAGTAGTTTCTCAGTTGTTGTCCCAAGAATGATGTGTTTCAGAGTTTATACTATGTTGTCATGTATAACTAATTATATGTATAGAATATTTCTTTATACTTATACTATAACAATAATAAAATGTTCATTACTTATATAAGATAGTATACACCAGTTAAGTCTTCAGGTGTTTATTTTTTTATTCAGTTTTTTTCTTGGTAATCCAATGTTTATTATAGTGCAAAAAATAATTTGATTTTTCTGGAGTTTTTATATTAGTGCTAAAATTGATTAAGCAAATTTAATTGATAACTATGCATACACATCTCCAAGAGTATGAATTCGAATCAGTGACACTTTCACTTTATTTATATTTAAGAGAAAGAATAAAAATTTATGTTGTGAACCTTTTCTTTATCTATTGTTGAAAAAGTGAACGTGACTTGTGGGTTAAACCATGAACTAATTGTGGTTTCAGTTAAATGTTAATTGGTTAAACCATATCCCACCTATAATTTAATTATGGTTACAAAAGTAGCTTACTAGTTCAACCAACGGATAAATATTCAGGTATTAAATACTAACAACCGTCTTAAAATACATGCTAAAGAATCAAAAAATAAAAATATTATTTTTGAAGTGATTTATTTCATTTATTTAAAGCTAAAAAAGAATTGTTATTTCCAAGAATATATTGATATACTTTGTTCTAATAACATGTGCTCTCTATTAGCGACATCTATAAAATAATTATTGAAATTAGAAAAATTAGAAACCAGATAATGCACATAAAATTAGGGATGACAGGGGTTTTAGTACGGTACTATACTACCCGTTTTCTTACTTGTTGTTTGAAAAAATTCCATATTCTTGTAAGTATTAATTTTTGTACCCGTGTGGTACTTAAGTATTTATATATGTATCCATTTATTCATATTTCTAATAAAAATTTATTAATCAATCGTAATTTATCTTATCATTTTAAGTTATTAACAAAAATTCAAGAATGTTATTGTTGAGTTAAGAAATAAATAAAGACTTTTATTAAAACACATACAAGTTTAATAATGATGTGTGTAATAAAATTGATAAATAATATGTATAAATAAATAATAATAAAAGTAATATTAGGAATAATAGGATGACGGTCTTCTAATGATTTTATTTCTTATTTATAACCATGTGTATTTATTACACTCTCCAAATGTTGTCCTATAAATATAATTAATTTCATTGCACAAAAGATACAAAATTATTTTCATCTTTCTCTTTTATCTTCTTTCTTCTTATTTTATAACACGTTATCAGCACGAAGCTCAAATATTTGAAAGGATCTTTTAGTGTTGTAAAATAACATTATTTTTTCTTCCTTTTATAATATATTTTCTACCTATTATTTATAATATATTAATTTAAAAAAAATTAATGATGATTATTAAGCATCCTTAAAGAATAACAAAAGAATATTTGTATAAGTTCTTGAAGAACTTATTAATAATCTTTGAAGAATAATGTTGAGTTTGATATATAGTTTCTAAAGAACTTATCAAATATCTCTGTAAGATAATATTGAATTTTTTATATAGTTTTTGGAGAACTTATCAAACAGCATCCCTGAAAGATTATAAATAATTATTTTTATTAATAAACAAGTTATAATTAAGTTCCTGAAAAACTATAAAATAAAATTGTGATTGAGTTTTTTTGAAAAAATACACACAAAAAATTCTCTAAAATCCATTCAATGGTATTTAAAAATATATTTTTTTCTTTATCATTTATTATGTCGTTCACTAAAAATTATATATTTCACTAGATCTTTTGAAGGATTGTAATTTTTATCATAGAAAATTCTAGTTGAGTTCTATAAGATTGTAAAATATATTTTATAACATAATGTTATAGTTTTGTGATTAATTTATTAAAATTGACAAGTATTTATTTGATAATTAAATATTATCAATTTGTTATTAATTTGTGTTGTTGTAATTAGTGTGTTTTATAAAAAATAAAAATAAAAATGAATCGTCAAAATATAAAGTGAATTTTTTTTTTATGATAGATATTTATTTTTAAAATTTTTATATTGTAAAGGTAAGTCTTAATGGTGATTTAATTGAATAAATTATTTAAAAAAAATACATTTTATAATATATATATATATATATATATATATATATATATATATATATATATATATATATATATATATATATATATATATATATATATATATATATATATATATATATATATATATATATATATATATATATATATATATATATATATATATATATATATATATATATATATATATATATATATATATATATATATATATATTTTTTTTTTTTTTTTTTTTTTTAATTTTCTAATAAAAAAATATTTATTTTCTTTTATTTCAAATTTATTTATTAAATTACAAATTCTTATATAAAATCTATAGAGTTATTTATATTTGTTGAATAATTTTTATACTCTATATTCTATATAAATAAAGCGTAAGAAAATATAGTATTGTATATTATGTACTATGATTATTAGTAAAAGAAATAAAAAAATTGATTTAGATGAGAACATTGTAATTAAATTGTATGTCATCAATTTTTATGAACATATTTTATACAAATTATTTTATTATTTACTATGGATTGAAACAAATTATAAGAATATAATCATATATATTATTGTAAGTCAGGAGTTTACAAATCACACTTAAGTGTGATATTGTTAAAATTGGTTGGGTTATCTCAAGTATATTATGATGCGAGAACTAGTTTTGAAGAACCAAAAGTTTCTTCAATCTAATAAAATTTGTGTGTTCCTAAATAGAAATTTGAGAAATTGAGTTTTTATGACATTAATTGTTGCATCGACTAAAAGGTCATACATATGTCTACTCACAACTAGAAGTTTGTGAAATTGTTTTCTCAACTAATTAGACTAAGATCTTATTTTCTAGATTTTTCAGAAATTTATTGATAGGTATCACATATATCATTAAAATTGATATTGAACACCATGTAGCATGTGTTCATAAAAACGAACTTGAAGATTCATTCTTTAGACGTCTAAAGTTAATTATATGACTGATACTTGCGAGATCATCAATTCTAAATTAGATATTTGAAACACACAAAGTATGATATTAAGATATTTATTCACATTAAGCCAACATGTTAATATATGTTAATTCTCCCCATTAATTTACAAATTATTTTAGGTTAATAACCTAATACTTCTTGAAATTCAGGCTGCAGATACTCAATGTCACGTTCAATGTTATGACACCGTATCTGACTTACTATAAGACAGTAAATACAAAAACAGTAAAGAACACAGTCAATTGTTTACCCAGTTCAGTGTGCAACAACACCTACTCTGGGGGCTACCAAGCCAGGGAGGAAATCCACTATAAGAGATATTAATTCAGGAATAAATCAACCAGTTTATCTCCTTCACTTAAGACCTACCCAATGCAACTTCAATCTAAGTACAACTTAAACCTGAGTTCCTACTCACTCCCCCTCAATCACAGCAGTGATACATAAAACAATTTGACTAATGAATTGTTGAAGACACTCTTCAAAACATACACTTGATTATGCTTCACAGCTTTTTAATCAAGCAACACAAACACTCTTGCTTCACAGCTTTGAGTGATACACAAACCTAACTTGACTTTGCTTCACAGCTTTAGTCAAGAGACATATAAACACTCTTGCTTCAAAGCTTTGAGTGTTACACAACCCTTACAATTAAAACCTATTCCAAGTCACTTATCACAATGATAATTGCTTGGATTACAATAGTAAAAACTATACAGCTTCTAAATGATCTTCTATCAAAAAGGGATTACATTCAAAGCAGCAGCCCTGTTGAATATATAGCAGCTGCATCTTCAGTTAGGGTTTCCACAAAAAGCTAGGGTTAATTCTGTTTGACCTTAAGACTAGGTCACATGACTAGATCAATCAGGATGGGGTTGAGCTAGGTTAACCCAAAGAAAACGCAGGATTCTGTTCTGGAAAGACTGAGTCATTTTCCTGAAAAAACTCAGAATTAACCAAACTGCAAAACTGTTAGTTCAGAATAGGATGTCTTAACATTTGTTATGACATCTGAGAACCTGTCTACTGATTTAGGAAAATGTGATCTTTTTGCAAAAATGCTCAGATGCACACTTATAAACAGCAGCACCTGTATGACAATATTTTTCTGTAAAGGTACCTAATAAATCTGTACCTAATAAACTAGAATGTTATGACATCAGTCATGATATTCATACACCTGGTTTTACCAAAAATGCATGTCAATACCTAAACAACTACAAACTCCCCCTTTGGCAAATTTTTGGCTAAAGCCCCTAAGCAATCAGAGATAGATAGCAGCAGCAGAATAAATATGACTGCAGAAAGATAGAATGTGTAATAAAGTACCAAAATATATCTCCCCCTCTTTAGCCACAAATGGGCCAAAGATACATGTTCAAAAAAAATTATACAGTCATCCAAAAAAAGTAATGAGAACATCAACTAAAAACTGAACACACTTCCAAACTCTACCAGGAACCAGCATCAACTCCACCAATCAGCAACTCCACCAACCTTTAAGCACTGTCATCAGACTCAGAGGAGCTAGTTTCTTCAGTATTGAGATGACCTTCAGCTTCTACACCCTTTTCCCTTCTGTTTCCTTCAGCTTCCTCCTTTTCTAACCTGGCAATTAGGTTTTCTAGGGTCTTTTTCCTAGCTTCCAGTTCTTTGCAGGTCTCTTTTAATACAGCTATGACATCAGATGTTTTGGACTGGGTCTTCACAGACGATGTCTCAACTGATGTTATGACAATATCAGGAGCATGAGATCCCTGAAACAGTTTATAGTGCAACCCAAGGGCAGGAGCTCTTTTGCAAGCAGTATCTCTTGCCACCAGGATATCAG